GATGGGAACTCCAGAAGTGCGAGCCCCTTGCTCGCCAAGCTCACGCCCAAGGAAGGCCTCCACTCGTGGTCTCCAGCCCTCTGACCTGCACTACCCGGTGACTGGGTTGTAGTGAATCCTTAGGCCTAGCATCTTCTGACAGTCCTAGAGCGTGACTGTCATCTCCCCGAAAGGTAGGTGGAAGCTGTGAGTCTCCGGCCACCACCTATATTTAAGACAAAGCAAGATTACTTGTCAAAAAGTCAATCGCATGAACAAATAGCCATGAATGGAGGCAATGATTCAATTTAATACCTATCAATCAACGTAGTTATGGCCGCTGAGTTGAACTTGGGCAACCCACGACGAACCTGAAAAGAGATAACATCCAGGCCAGCTCTTTGCAGAAAAGGAGTGTACCAGTCATCGTACCGCATGTCCAAGAACCCACTGTGGGTTCTAGGACGAAGGAGCAGAAGGTCTTGCATCGAATAAAACATAGTCTGCTGTTACTTCATGAACACATGTACGCTCACCAATTTTTGAACAAAACTTGTAGATTATTACCTGCCCTAGCGCTATGAGATGTCCTCAGTGGGTCGCCTCGTACGTCGGGTCGAGCAGGTGGAATTGCGCCATCCTAGAAAAAAGTGAATGAATTAGAATTTCAATATACAATGAAACATGAACTTAGAAATGTATAAGTAATTGACACAAATACAAGCATAAATTGAGACATGCATAATTAATTAAATGAATACGACAAATATAAAATAATAAAATCAACCAATAGTCACACCTCACTAATCTGCCAATGGCAACTTCGTGAATTGTGGCCAAGTCTACCGCACTTGCCGCACTCGTACTGCTTGGGGTCAGTAAGAAATGGAGTTCCTCGCCCACGTCATGTTCTTCCAGGTATCTAATCCATAACCATCCTATGCCTCGTCCTCTGCCTTGATCCACGCTTGTTTCAACGGTAAGCTGGATCCGCAATGTACTTCGGCCCATCATATGGAGGCCACTCTCTAGGGTCCCAGAAAGGCACGAAGCGGGGGCTCCATGTGTACACAAGCGTGTCGACACTGAAGTCATGAGGTATCCTCCTCTCGATATTATTGTTGCGATGTCTAGCTGCTGCCACCAAATGAGAACATAGAAAGTGGTACTGCCTTGGTTTACCATAAGTGCATTTGAAATCTTGGAGGACAACCACATGTATCCTCGACTCTCGAACCTCGCCGTTGGACGTTGTACCGCCCCTATGCTCGACTTGATAAGTCCCTGTGGCGTGGTCAAAGCATGTAACCTCATGTGTGCCAGCCCTTTCTCTTGCCTTCTCTAGGTGTGCCTTTGGTTTCGGAGCCCATATCTCTCCATCACTCTGCAACTGCAATGCATGGGCTTGTCTATCGTTGAACTAGGCAACAAGCTTATAGAAGGTGAATTGAATGATTGCATTCACGGGCATACCACGTATCCCCAATAGCAACTTATTGAATGACTCCGCCATGTTGCTGTACTGAAACTCGTACCTCCATCCACCGACATCGTGAGCTCTCGTCCATTTCTCCAAATCCCTCATCAAACCTATGAGCCATTGTCTACCTTCTGCATTTGATGCAGTTCTGACATGCTCCAACTTTTCCTAAAAGTACTTGTCCTCAAGCTGTCGAGCAGCCTCCTGGAACAGATCAAAGTTACCCTTCACACCATCCTTCCGGAGTAGATTCTCGGCAAGGTGTCGAGTACACCAACGATGGTGCAAAGGTGCATACCCCTCTATCTGCTCTCATACGGCATTAAGTATGCCCTGGTGCCTATCAGATATGACGCCAACCTCCCTGCCAGGCCCAACCACGTGTATCCGAACTAGTCTCAAGAACCATCCCCAACTGTCATTGTTCTCCTTCTCAACCAAAACAAATGCCAAAGGAATCAACTTGTTGTTCGCGTCACAGGATATGGCTATAAGAAGTGTGCCCTGGTATTTGCCAATCAAGAATGTACCATCAATGGAGAAGATGGGACGACAGTGCCTAAAGGCCTCGACACACTGAGGGAAGCACCAGAAAGCACAGAAGAATATCTGCCTCCCATCCTTCCATGCATTTGGTTTTGGGATATACTCATAATGCATGCCTAGATTCACCACTTTTATTGCATTGAAAAGAACTGGCAGCTGCTCATACCCATCCTCCCAGTCTCATATATCATCTTCCACGCTTGCTGCTTAGCCCTCCATGCTTTACCATAAGTTTTCACATAACCTCCATACAACGCCTCAACAGTCCTAATAATTGTCCTCACCTTCATGTTGGGTTCTCCCTGCAAAATTCCCATCAACCGCTTGGCAATGAGGGTAGATGTCAACTGTCGATGCCTCAGTGTCAGCTCATGGTCAGCACAATTGTGTGGCCCGACAACTTTTGTGATCTTCCATTTTCCAGTTACCTGTTGCTTCTTTGCACAAACCCTCCACGGGCAGCGTTCCTTGTCACACACAACTGTGTAACGGCGCTCCGCATATGAATGCAATACCTTGTAAGGTCTCTTTCGTATTACTACAAAAGCCTGCAACCACCTCTTCAAAGTAGGGAGGTCATTGAACACCCTCCCATTCTCAATTACCATGTTTGGACCGGCCCAGGAGCTTCTAGGAGCTCATCGTCACGTCCTTCTGCAAATGCCTGATCGGAATGAGCAAGATCACTGAACTCGTGAACTCTAGGATCACGGCGGCCGAGAAAGATATGCCTCATCATCTCAACATCACTCTCCGTCAGCTCTCCAACAGGGTGATCATCATCAGAATCAAGAGCCCTAGCCATCTCATATGGCTCCGAATCATGCATAATTTCAATACTATTGGAGCCACGTAATCCATCTCCAAAGTGCACTTGCACAACAACAGGGGCACATCCATATTCTCAGGAATGTCTCCTGCAACATAAGTAGAGAAATGAGGAAAGAATGAAAGAAATAGATGTAAGGAACGGGGTAAGCTCCCAAAAACCATGCGGTTAAGACACTTACTCGGATGATTCTGTGTCAAAGGGATCTCATAAGGAGGATCTACCATGGAAACATGAGTTTGACAACCATCTCCAACTACCGCATTGGGGGCAGATTGAGCATCGGGAACCGTAGGTGCAATCTCCACATGCAGATAAGGTTCCAGAACGGGAGGGTCGATGTGTGCCTGCTGATCCATTGCTGGGGTAAACCCATGAGGGATGGGATCAACTAACACCCGACGCACAACCACGTCCAAACATTGCAGCTGGCTCTTCATAGCCGATCTCGCATAGTTCTCCCACTGATCCGCACAACCAATTGAGATCATTCGCCTGAAGATGTTGAGAGGAGAACCTAGGTGCAGTACACCATCAACTACAATGCCATCATCTCCAAGGCAATGCAGCTCCTCCCGAGCCCTTGCAACCATCTCACTAAATGAAGGCCTATCATTGAATAGCACAGGCACGCTTTGCATGTCAACAAACTCAACATATCCATAGCGATCGCTTTCAACGGTGCCTCCATGATATATGGTTACTAGGTTGTCCATCTAGTTCAAACACGTAATGAAACACATGTCCTTTAGTCCAAATTAGACGATAGATAGTACCTAACAAGTACTTTCTAACTACAAACTAAGTAAATAAGATAGTAACTACGTATATATATACAGTGTACTTACTAAATAGCTAAATCATATTTAGTTAACTAAATATATAACTACATATCTAAGTAGCTATCTAACTATATCTATGTACCTATGTATCTTTGTTTCTATCTATCTACATATATATCTCACTAGATCACTAACTAAATCAACTACCTAAGTCATCACATTAACTAGTAAATAAGAAATGCCAACTAAGTAGGTACATTGCATATTCATAATTTTTACCTTTCCAACGACTGATCCGCGGATGTCGACGGAGTCACAGCGGACGATGGGCGTGGGTCAGGCCGATGATCCGGGCCGGCGGTGGCACGGCCGGTCGCTGTAGGTGGCGAGGTCGGCGGTGGCGCGACCGACGATAGCGGTGGCGCGCGGCGGGTGCGGGATGCCCGGGGCTCCGCTCGGTGAGTCCGGCTCGACGGGCGCGGGAGGCACGGCGGCCGCGGCCGAGGTCGGCGATGGAGGGCGGCAAGGCGGGGCGAGGCCAAGGCGAGGAGAGGGCGCAGCGCGGGTGCAGGAACCGGCGAGGCCGGCAGCGATGGAGCCTGCGGGCGGCCTGCACCAGCGAACACTTGACGGCTGCTGGGGGCGGCGCTCGCACGTCGAGAGTGCGGCGAGCCATGGGGCGTGGGCCGGCCATGGTGGCACTGTGCGGGCGGCGCGTGATGCTGGCGCTCAAGAGGCTCTGTGTGTGTGTGAGTGGTGGTGATGGGCCTTGGCGCGGGCGTGGGCGAGGGCGGCCGGTGGAGGCGAGGGCGCGGGTGGCGGCGGCGAAGCTCAGCTCTGCTCTGCTAGGGCGAGAGAGGGAGAGGAAGAGAGGAAGAGAGGCGCGGGGCCCATAGGTAATAAAAGCTCGGCGCCAGAGTGACTGGCGCCGAGCTCCCTGCCATGTCACCTACCGAGTCCAGGAGCTCGGCGCTAGGGATGCTGGCGCCGAGACGTGTTAGCTCGGCGCCAGCATCAATGGTGCCGAGCTAAGGGTCTATTTTCTAAAATCTTTCCTCCAGGGGTCTATTTGTGAGAAACTTTCAAAAAAAGGGCTAAAATGTAAAAAAAATCGGTAGGAAGGACCTGGGATACAGTGGAGCACTGAGATGGGTGCATATAAAAGTAAAGTGATCGGCTTTTTTTCAGAAAAAGAATGTCGGAAAATCGTTCGCTTGTTTTGGAGTGAATGAGCGTTCACGATTTAGTTTTGTGAGGGGCGACGTGGGTATGATGGGCGGGTAGAAGAAAGGTTTGGAAAAGAACGTGCCAGGGGATGAGTCGTCTGTCCCTAGCAATGACAGGACCGCAGGAACGCGTAAGGGGCAGATTGGTGACTGTAAGACTATAGGTGGCCCACGGTTAAATTGATATATACATAGTTAGTGGTTGTTTGGATCTAAAAAATAAAGACCAGTCTTTACAAAACAAGTTTTTGGAGAGATTTTAGTAAAACGAATTTAAGGTTGTTGCTTGGTTAATCATGTGTTTAGATAATTCTCTGTTTGGATCTAATAAACTGAATGGCTCGCTTATGTCACCAGTTTTGTTAGAAACGAGTCATATAGTCGATTTTGGTAAAACCAAATTAATGTTCGTTTCCTAGCCAAATCAGAAAATGTTGTAGCCATGTTCATCTTCTCGTGGCGAGTTTCCACTTATGTCCATACTAGATAGCATCAACTATCAAATGGTTACACAATGCTTGTATTGTTGTTGAAGCTACTTGAACTGCTAATAGTTTGTATTGTCAACATAAGTTAATTATAAAAGATAATGAGAACAACTACTAGAAAATAAACACAAGAATGATATAATATAGGATTCAAATAGTTTCAATTTTGACACCATAAGATATAGTGTGATATTAGGAAAAAAAATATGAAATGGTTTCATATGTTTTCGAGCTTAAACATTTCTTATAAATTTTATAAGATTAAATCAAATTTAACAATTTTAATTGAACCACTTTTCAAGAAAAAAATACTTCCTCCATTCTAAATTGTAAGTTATTCTAACTTTTTGATATAGCTTTAATATGTATCTAGACATAATATATATCTAGGTACGTAACAAAAAATATGTTATATACCTAGAAAAGTCAGAATAACTTATATTTTAGGATGCGGTATATTTGAATATGTCTTTTTTCAAAAATTCTATTACTGTTTTGGTAAACTCTATTAAATCCTCTAAGCTATCAAGATGTGGTGCCCAAAACTGCTCAAGAGTAGAATCAAACGGATTCAAAAGCCGAAGGAGCCTAATGCCCTGTTCGCTTGGTTGATAAGCCATGGCTGAAAGTACTGTTGGTTGATTTGTTGTGAGAGAAAAATATTATTCGTTGGCTGAAAAAATACGGCTTATAAGCCAAGCGAACAGGGCTTTTAGATTGGCAGAGATGAATAAGACGACATCCCCAAAAGTTAAGGGTCAAATAGACTTTTCCCGCCAACAATTTGAGTTGCTCTGCTTGTGGCAACAAATTTTGGCCAACAAATCAGGCATAGTCCAGCAAGTAAAGATAATTGGCATCAAATGTTGACATATTTTATTATGTATGGAAAATGTGTTAGTTGATCTCCACCAATAGGCCCTTGTCTCTGCTCCCTGATCGGGGGAGCCCAACCATAATATGGTTGGTGGGCCCCTGTCGCACAGCACATATAAAAGAGAGGTGGGGATCATGGCTCGCGCAACGAGGTTGGTCTGAGCCACCGTTGATCCACCACAATAGAAAGCCTAAACCGATCTAAAGCAGTGCTGTCAGCGACGGGAAGCTCCACCACACCGCCGTCTCCTCTGCAGGGTCACCACGGTCTTCACCAGCGCCACTGGACTTCATCTCCACCGTGCTGGAGGCCTACTACACCGCGACACCAGCGTCCGCGAGGCTACAGCCAAGGTGTGCAGAGGAACCCAAAGCAGAGGTCTACCCGGTTCTACGGTTACACAGAGGTACACAATGATCCTAACATTGGTATCGGAGCCAGGTTGCTAGTGTGTAACCCTAACCCTAATCGGGTAAAAGAAACGGAAACGGGACCGGGGGTGGCGAACGTCACCGGAACCCCGGTCACCACCGCCACCGCGCGGGGAAAAGTGCCGGTGCGGCAAGAAAAGAAAAGAGTTCCTTACGGATCTGAACAGAGAAGGGGTTCACTAACCCTAAACCCGTAAAAGCCTTCAACGGAAAGAGAAACAGTAGGAAGAAGAAGAGTGGGTTCGGATTTGGCCGAACCCTAAGACCTAACCCTAATTTTAACCCCATCCCAAATCGGGTTGATCCCAAAAGAAGAAGGGGAAAGGGGAAGAAGGGGAAGGAATCAGTCTCGGGGAAGAACAATGAACCCTAGCATCTCGATCTCGAATCAAAACAAATCGGGTTCAACCGAACCCAAACCCTAACTCACATGGAGAAAGGGAAAAGGGGAAAGCCATTCGGATGAACTCCGAAAAGAAAAAGAAATCAAAAGAAAATGAAACCTACCCCAATCGGTTGAATCCGTAGAAAGACGAAGATTCAAAAAGAAAAGAAAGAAGATTCAAAAGCAAATCAAAGAAGGGGAAGGTCGGATTCCGAACCCTAACCCTAGAACAAACCCTAATCCTCATCACCGGTTCGGATAAGAGAAAAGAAATCCAAATCGGAGAAGGGGAAAAGAGGAACGGACCTACCTCGCCGTGCGTCGGGATGGCCCTTCGTAGGCGCGGGAGAAGAGTCAAGCCGGGGGCAGCTGCTCGCCGAGCTCGGCCAAGGGGGCGCCGTGGCCAGGCCACTCGACGGCGGCGTGCTCGCCCGTTGGGGAGCACGCGTGCCGGCGAGGGGGCCGGCGACAGCACCATGGACGCTCCACCACTGTAGTTGCTCAGTCGCCGCTCGGTGCTCGCTGCGCTGAGAGAGGAGAGAGCGGCAAAGATAGAACGAAGAGAGAGAAGCAGACAGAGCAAATGAGGCTAGGGTTTCCAACCGTCGTAGCTGAGCGTGGTTTTGTCCCCACGAAGCCTGCGGGTGACCGTCGGATGCGATCCGACGGCGAAGCATGATCGGGCCATCCCGCGGCCCAGGCGGGCGAGCGCACCGGCGCAGCTTTGCTGGTCCAGGCCCAGGTTGCGGCCTGGGTACGGCAACGCGCGCGGAGAGTAGCTGGACCAGGCTGTTTTGCTGGCCGGGCCGAAAGAACAGTGATCAATTTGAGTCATTTTTTGTTTTTTCATTTTCCAGTAAAGGTTTTATTTCCTGGAAATTGATTAATTGCTTAAATAAAATAGAAAAAGTAATTTTTCCTTGTGGGTAAAATTCAAGAAATTGAGTAAGAGTTTTTCCGCTGCCAAAGAAATTGTTTATCCTCCAGTTAATTTGTACCAAACTGATATTTAATTGGAGAAAAAGAAAGTTTTTCCGCTGCTAAAGAAAATATTTATTCTCCAGTTATTTGAACCAATGTGATATTTAATTGGAGAAAAAGATATTTGACATGATTATGATGTTGTTATTTTCTTACCAACGTTGTTAATAACAATATCGTAATTTTAATGATTTATGCATTAATTCTATTTCTGTCCAACGGTGATGTAGAATTAATGTGTAAGAACAGTTGTAAATTTTAATGATTTATGCATTAATTCTATTTCTACCCAACGGTGATGTAGAATTAGTGTGTAAGAAAGTTGTGAAAGTTAATGTTTTATGCATTAATTCTATTTCTGCCCAACGGTGATGTAGAATTAGTGTATAAGAATAATTGTATGTTTTGATTTTGACCAATGTTGGAATCAAGGCATGCAAATGGTGTTATTTATATGTTAAGAAAAGGTTTGACCTGGTTTTCATCTTGGCTAAGATGGACTGGGTAGTCACCTCACCGTGTCCCACTGATTCTGTGGCACCGATGAGGGAGACAAAAGAGAATGATGCCGATTAGGCAACTAAAAAAAGGGATTTTGAATCCCAAAAGATGTTCTATGACTTTGAGCATAGAAAGTGGGTCACTGCCAACATAAAATATTTGGCTGTGATAAAGAACACGATTGAGCCTGCAATTGTGGGCTCAATCCCAGAGTGTGACACGGTCACTGAATACCTCAATAGAATAAAGAGTCAGTTCACTGGCTCTTCAAAGACATATGCTACCTAGCTAATAAAGCAGCTGGTCACAGAGTGTTAATCTAGAAATGGTGGCATAAGAGAGCTCATGATGCGTCGTCAAAATTATGGCACTGTCGTTTAGGCCATATTTCGAGGTGAAGAATAGCAAGACAAGTTAAGAATGATATTCTTCCTCCATTAGAGCTCTCAGATTTAGAACAATGCAGAGAATGTATAAAAGAAAAGTATGTAAAGAAAATAAAGAAAGATGACAAACGAAGCGTAGGAATTTTATAGATTATTCACATAGACATCTGTGGTCATTTTCCTATAAAGAGTGTGGATGGTTATGATTCGTTCATAACATTCACAAATGATTACTCTCATTATGGCTATATTTATCCAATCAAAGAAAGAACAGAAGCATTGGATAAATTTAAGATATTAAAGATTAAGATAGTCAGGTCTGACCATGGGGGAGTACTACGGTCGGCATACCCTAAAAGAATGGCATAGTAGCCCAGTATTCTTACCGGGCGAACCTTAGCAGAATAGAGTAGCTAAAAGGACCAATCGTACCCTGATGGATATGATGGGCAGTATGATAAGTTACTCCACCTTATAGTTCAGCCTGTGAATGGAGGCGTTAAAAACCGACATTCATATTCTCAATAGACTACAAAGTAAGTCGGTGCCCAAAACACCGTATGAGTTGTGGACAAGAAGAGTACCCTCACTAAACACTTAAGTGTGTGGGGGAGTCCTGCTGAGGCTAAAGTATTTAACACAAACATTGAGAAGTTAGATCCCAAAACAGTAAGTTGCCATTTGTTTGGCTACCCAGAAAAGTCAAAAGTTTTTTGTTTTCTACTGTCCAGAGAGACATACAAAGTTTGTGGAAATGAGACACGCTGTCTTCCTAGAGGATAAATTGATGAGGGGGAGCATGGTAGCTCGAGAAATTGACCTTGCTGCATCTTGCGGACCGCGGAGTTCCAATGGTTCTTGACGGCGTTGTCGGACCGGCCGTGGAGGAAGCGCGCGATAGTGGCCCACTTGTTGCCGTGCACGCGCTGCAGCTCGACGATGCGCGCGTCCTCCTCGGGCGTGAAGGGGCGGCTATCCAGCTCCGGCGCCAGGTGCTGGCACCACCGCAGCCGGCACGACTTGGCGCCGCGCCCGACCACCGCGCCCGCGATGGCCGTCCAGTTCTGCCGCCCGTGCTCCCGCACCGCCCGCCGCAGCGCCTTGTCCTCCTTCTCCGTCCATGGCGTCTTCTTGCAGTCCGCCGCCTTGCCCTCGCCGCACTGCGCCGCCATCGCCATGCCCCCCGCTTCCTGCAGGGTACGACGCCTGCCGCGTAGGGCAAATGCCGCTTAGCAAGAGGTTGGATTAGGTTACGCCGCGCTGCATGCCTTTATATATAGTCATCCGCTTCATCCGCGTTGCGTCGTACAATTGGAATGAAATTAGGAATCGCATCGGATATATGGAAAGTTTCAAGTGGAGGCCTGGATGGGTTGCTTGTTCTTGGTAAACTGAGTGGCCGTGCGTTGTAAATTGCGATTTAACAGAATTTAAGAACTGCTTGGGACAATAATCCATGATCTGTACAACTCTATATACAATTAGAAATTCAAATGACTGAAATCACCAAAGTGGTCGTTGACTTATATTAATTAATATTGCACCAAACATGTTTGTGCATTGTAACTTGACGTATAACTTATGGTGCAGTCACTTGATTAGCCCATGTCAATGATAATGAGTTAGCTATCTTTGTTGAAATTAGTTGAATTTGGTCCAACCTTATTTCAATTAAATCAAATAAATTCCAAGACAATTAATAAATATTAGGTGTAATAAAAGATTAATGACATATGGGAAAATAGCTGGAGACTGCATCATGGCTATCGCGTGTGCGCTTGTTGTGAGGTTAAGAAACATGCGGGGTGAGCCAGGCTGCCCCCTGTGGCGTGTCATGGCACGAACTCAATGCTTGGGTGATCAAACCACGACATGAGTAGACAAGTGGTGCAGCGCCATGAAGATTCTATAGCTCCAAACTTTAACTAGCACCGTTGCGATGGGTCTACGTTTCTCCTATGAAAGCAAGAAGAGTGGAAGTGGAAGACGATGACTCAAGTGACTGAAGATGAGGTGTGAGAGTGAAAGACAATCAGGTAGGGTAGAGAGTGACAGACTAAGAGGGCTTACAGCGAAGGATATGCAAAAGATATTTCTTGTTTCTAACTGTTTTAATATGTATTAAAATCATACTCCATATCTCGTCGAGATGTGCAAAAGCGCACGGCTCTAACTCGTATGAATACTTAAGTCTAGGTCCTAGGCTCAGGAGAGAAACGAAGAACATTATTGGAAGTAGAAAGCACGCACGCCAACATGTGTTGTATAACCATGGCTGCATGGATCGTAAATCCAAGTTCCAAACGAGACAAAGGAGAGATGCAATGGTGTTGCGGGAAATAAAAAGACACAAAAGAATACCTTCACTCTTTAGTATTATACTAGCAAACGTGTCCATGTGTTGCAACGGAACCCGATACATATAAGAATCGAACTTCGTATCATCGTTAGACACGAGTTGTCCTAACTCGCTTGAGCACGGATCATGAGTTCGGATCACATGCGAGATATGGAGTGTGCGGCCCAATATGTTTTGAAATCGGACTCCGTATTGACCATTGCTAGACTCAAGTTATTCTAACTCATATATAATCACGAGTCACGTACAAGACACGGAGGGTGCATGTATAGTTTGAGATGTAAAAAGAGCGAGACAAAAAAAACTATACACGGTAAGATAGTTAAGGAGAAGTGGACGAAAACAATGAGGATAAAAAATTAACTCTTTAATATTATATATGTACTACTCTGTCCTTAAAAGTACCTAAAGTTTGACCACATGTAATATTATCTAGGTAAGATACTAACGTCGTGATGAATTTAATGTTACCTATTTCGTATGATAAACATTAGTATTTTTATATAATTTAGCTAAATTTGACGTACTAAAACATAGCACTATGCAAGAATTGTATTGTTTAGAACAGAGGGTGTCGGTGTTTCGAACCGCCGACTAGTATATTTGTGCTTGCGCGTCTGGCCTGGATGGTGTGCTCGGAGGACACAAGGGTTTATATTGGTTCGGAGGGAATGTCCCTACGTCCAGTTTGAGGCTGCTCGTGTTACCGGCACTTGTTTGTAGTAGAGGGTTACAAATGGGCGAGAGAAGGAGAAGGTCCCAAGTCTCTGACGGAAGGATCGAATGGAGTTGAGTCTAGTCGAACTCGTTGAGCCATTTTTCCGTGCCTTTCGTGGGGCGTCCTGCTTCTCCTTTTATAGATGAAGGGGAAGGCGCATGTTACAAGAGAGAGAGAGAGAGAGAGATAGAAGCGAGGAGGAAGAAGGCCTCTGGGGTCGTGGCGTCTTTCATCTCCTTTACGCGGGTCCCGCTGGTCCTGTAGATGATGATGGGGACGGCTCCACGTCGCAACCCTGTTCATCACTGGCGCTATACGCGAGCGTCGTCAGCCAGTCGTGGCGATCTATTCTGTTCCGACGAGGCATGGTTAGCAGATACCTCCATCGAAAGTCATACGGAGATTAGGTAGCATAGCGCCGGCACGCCCGACACTGTTAGCGACGTGAGTCCTTAGGTATGGCCTGTCGTGGCCGCAGGTCACATCAAGACGCACCAACTCCCATTCTGATGTCAGAAGTTTGATCCTGGGTTCGTACTTTTAGACTCGCAGTGGTTGGGGGTGGTACGGACCCCCGTCGGGCGAAGAAGAATCCACCTTCGAGGGGTCTGGCGAGGCGAAGTCCGCGCCTGAGGGGTCGGACATGATGGAGCCCGCGCCCGAGGGGTCTAGCGAGACGGAGCACGCGCCCTCACGGTCGGGCGAGACAGAGCCACGCCCTCAGGGTTAGGTGCAGCAGAGCCCGTGCCCTCGGGGTCGGATGAGACAGAGCCCGCGCCCTCGGTGTCGGGCGAGACGAAGCCCGTACCTTCAGGGTCGGGTGAGACCAAAATACGCTCTTGACCATCCGGGCGAGTTAGTGTTCGTGGCCATCAACTTCCTTCTATTAGGTATCCCTAATACGGATACCCGATAGTAGCCCCCGAGCCTGAGGAGGAGTAGGATACTCCTTTGAAGGTTTTTTCAGACGAAAGGATTCTGAGGGTCTTGATTTCCCTTTGCGGGCCGCGGGATGTCTTGATAGGGCCACGATTCCTTTCCGTCGCGTTCGGACTCTTCGAGAGCATGCAGCCGTGGGATTCAGGGGGGGGGGGTCGGAAAAGATCTCTCTTGATTCTGATCCCTTCCTAGGATCCGATCGATCTGCCATTGTCATGTGACCGCGTATTCGGTCTCCTTGCGAGTCCAACTTCCGCCGAGCCCCCGCGCGTAGTTGGGGTCCGGTCGAGGGGTCAGCTCGTCTTGTGGTCGTCCTGCCTCAAATGTTTTTTTTCGATAAAACAGAGGGGCTGAGCCATGCCATGTTTTCCTCGATGGACGAATTATGGTGCTCGGTGAGCTGTTAACGGGCTAGTTCGAGTGGGGCCCTGGCTTCCCGTTCGTGGGGGTATGGCATGGGTCAGCTGGTAACCGACTCTAGATTCATGGGGGGCAATCCATATAGTTCTTAGATCCGTTCGATCGGTCCCAAGGGCTCGTTGCCTTTCTTCGAAGAAAAACCATGGACCATGCTTTGGCCAAGACCCGAACGTGGGTCGGGATGCCCATGGCGCTCGTGCGCCCAGGTACCGGCCGCTAGCGGGCCCATCCCTTACCACCCCTCACTCAAAAGGTGCCCCGAATCAGTTGTGAACCCATCGGTGGGCCAACCTTTGAACTCCTAGGCCTTAATGGGCCATAGGAGTGTTTTCAACTCTGTATCCCTTCTTACCTGCGGCGATTTTTGGCCCATCGAGGGGGCGAACCACTGTCTGGCGCACCCTTCGAGGAGCGGCTGGGGGTGGCATGTGCACGATTCCTAGAGAGGTGATGTGATGAGGCGCGGTAGTCACGTCAATCTAGGCGGATGGTTCGTCCCTCGCTCCACCTTCCCTTATAAATAGCGGCCTTTCCCTTCACCTTTTTGTACGCCTAACCGCAGCCTCGTCTTCTCCGCTTCTCCACCGCCAGTGCTTTAGATTTCTTGCCCTCGCCCTTGCGCCGCTAGTGAAATCCTTGTTCCTCCGCCCTTGCTCTTCCGCCGTCAGTGAAGCTTTCGTTCGTTTGCTCTTGCTTCCCATGGAGTCGTGGTATCGCTCCATGTCACCCACGCGCGCATGGAGGGCCTTGTCAAGCGCGACCTTCTCTGCGAGAGGACTGACGCGACGGAGTGGCTCATGCCCAGTCATGAGGAGGTGCCGGTGCTGCTCGACGGCTATGTCATGTCCTTTGCGCCCTTTCACGAGCGTGGACTCATGATTCCTCCCCACCTGTTCTTCCAGGGGCTGCTGCACCATTACCAGATCAAGTTGCAGCACCTGAATCCCAACGGGATCTAGCACATCGCGGTCTTCATTGCGCTGTGCGAGGAATATCTAGGGATCGAGCCCCACTTTGAGCTATGGAGGTACTTCTTCTCCGTCTCCCTGCCCAAGAAGAGGGATAGAGCTAGGGACCTGTCGGTGCTAATGGGATGCGCGGGCATCCACCTCCGAGGGCAGTGGTCCGCTGAGTACATGCCCTGCCAGCTGTTGAGGTCCAACAAGGGGTGGCATGCGCAGTGGTTCTACATGAAGAACGCCGCCGCCGTGTGACAGAACCGCCCAATTTATACAAGATCAAGTACGGCTGTCCCCGCTAACACGTTGACACACACATACTTTCACTTATATAAACCCGGTAGTCCGCCGAGTGTCCCGAAAGACCTCGGTAAATCAACATCACAACCAAGATCGCGTGATTAAGCAAATACACATCACATACATAGGGTTGCAGTGGAAATAATATTACATATGGGTTCACAAATAAAAGTACAAGTTTGGGTTTCAAAACCGCTTAGTGAAAACAACATAGCTTTCAAATGATTACATTAATATAAGTTCCAAATATATTGCTAGCATAAGTGACATCATCCGACAAGAGCATATAGATGAGAAGTAACTATAGAATCACCGAGCCCACCGGCGGTTAGCCACCATCTTCAACAGGCCGAGAACTCCACCTGCAACATGGTGGGATAAACCCTGAGTACTCGAATGTACTCAACCAGACTTACCCGTCGGAAACCAAAACAAATGACACCAAGGATCATGCATAGCTTAATTTAGTGGGTCTGGCTAGAC